ATCAATTCTCCTTGTATCTTCCTTGGTCATTGTCCAACTCTCTGATGTATAAGAAGTGATTATGAAGACCATGGCCTGTATCAGATGCACCTTAGTCTTCAGAGAGACACCATTGCTCTTCAGTACTTTGGAGAGGTCCCTAACAGCAGACTTTCCCATGGCAATGCGCCTTTTCATTTCCTACCTAATATAGTAGTTAAAAAAATGAAATGCCATCCAATAAAATATCAACAAGACCCAAAATACTAAGAAATAATACTAAATAGAAGAAAATGACATAAAATTAAAAAAAATCCAGAATGATGGGTTATAGTGTTATATTTTAGATGGGAAAAAAAAAATCTCTATTGGAAAAACAATTCTTCCTATGATGGTGCAAGTAAACACAATCAATTCCAACAGAAATTTTAAAAGAAGACTTAATAAATCATTCTAAAATTTATCTGGAAAAACAATGAAGCAAATATTCCAATGAAAATGGGAAGCAGGCATCGTATGGATATTAAAATACGCCATAAAGAAATGAAACCATATAGAAGGTATTAGTTTAAGAATTTTCAGACTGAAAATCAGAAAAAGTGGTATCAGAAACCCCCAGTGTATAAGAATTTATTATATCATGATAATGGAAGCATCTTAAGCTAAGGATTATTAATTATTTTAATCAAAGACAGAACTTGACATTATGAATCATAAACCAAACCAAGTTTCAGATAAATTAATGACAAAGAATAAAAATAAGAGATTACAGAGACATGTATATGGCTCTTTAGCTAATTTTAAAGGATAAAAGTATGGCAGAAAAAGAAAAAAATCACATAAAGTATATCTGAAATAATAAACTTGATCTTTCAACAGTTTATGTCAACACAAAACCAAAAATTATATCTGAGATGCAATTGATGGTTTTGTTTTCATCAAACATGGGAGCACTATGAGAAATAATAACCCAGATAGACTTGTTGACCCTCCCCTCCAACAGATAATGAGTAGCGGGTGGTCGCTTTTAATTTAGAGAACTACAAGGAAAAACAATGGTCCAACTTACTACAAAGTTAAAAATGGATTTTTTTTTCCTTTCCCCACCCCTACTGGAAAAATGAGCTCAGCAAACACTCAAACAGCTGGTTAACTATAGAACTGACACTTCTCATCTGGAATTAAAAGGGAAAAAAGGACCTAAGCCTGTTTTTTAAAAAATATTCTCTTTCATGTAATCATTATCAGAACAAAACTTTATTCTGGTAATTAATGATACAGTTCATCCAAACATTGTTTAAAACTGTATAAGGCTCTAAGCAAACGTTATTCTTCAAAATATGGATTCAACATCATAATAAAATTATAGGACAGAATATTGTATTGCCTTTTAAATATGTGTTCTGAGAAGATACAACAGCAATGATACTCACAATAAAATCCTTAATGGGGTAAAAATGTTATTAAGTCTATAGACAGTACCAGGAGTCTCTGGTTGAAAACCAAGTAAGCTCTAAGTGATTAACAAAAGGAGGTCTGAGCACAGCTCAGGGGGTCTCAAAAGAAAGGCCTAGCAACCTGTTTCTAGAAAGGTCACCGTCATGAGTAGCCTATGTAGCACAGTTTGGCGTTGACCTTCAGAGTCACCATGAGCAGAATCAACTCAATGGCAACTGTGTTTTTAGTATTGTAAACAAGATGGGCTTTGCTTTATGGAAAACACAAGAGTATTTGAATATATGAATATATATTTGAATACATGAATATGTTTTTGGGTTTATAAACCATATGAATTTTGCTCTGTAGAAAGTATTTGAAAGTTTGAACACATGGATACAAGTGTTATATACACACTCCAGAAGCATGCATTAAAAATTCTGTGGATAGAAAGGGGATGCTAGACGATAGAGGAGGTAAATGGTTTCTCTCTTTGGAGTGATAACAACACTTGGACTGACTTTCCTTGGGTCACGTTCCCCAGGGATGCTGGCTCACCTGCATAATCCTCTGACCCGTAGTCGTCCGTGGGGTCCTCCACTCGGCTGTAGCGGACACGCTCCACTTTGGGGAACTCATTTGTTGGGGAGTAGGGCTGTACGGAGGTCCCATAGAGGACCAAAGACCATTCTTTCAACTTGCCTTGAGAAACAATAATAAAACCACAGTGTGACCCAATGTTCATAACTTCAACTTCACAATTTCTATTCCTTCTCATTTAGGAAAAAGCTACAGTAAAGTAGATTGAAATGTGTCACTGTATCAGTTACAGGGTAAGGAATGTATGTTTTCTACTATTTTCAGAAATCATTATTCACTAATTTACACACAATGTACCTACTGAGTACGTTAGTGTCATTGTGTACGGTGGGAACTGGAGTCTCTCACTCCAGTCAGTGATTTGCTTTTATAGGAAGACTGACACACACAGTACTGATGGTTTCATTAAGGGCTGAATGCCAAATTCCAAATATTGAAGACTTTCTGAGAATTTTGCAGAAGGCTTTGCTTTTCTGTACATAAATTTCTTTTCCTGAGCTCTATTTTGGGGGTATCACTGGCATATTTTTGCATTATCTGTGGCAAAACAACTACTCAGTTCTCCTTTGCTCCTGACCAATTTCTCACTGTGAGACTTAGGTCTCGATTTCTATTTTCCTAGAGATCTGTGCAGGTTAGCGCACCTGGCTGATGATCATGAGGCTGGAAGTTTGCATCCACCCACGGGTTCTTTGGAAGAAAGGCCTAGAGACCTATTTATGAAAACTCAACAATTTAAACAAACCATTACAGTATGACACACGCGGGGTCCAGAGAAGCCAGTGAGGACCCATAGTAACAGGTTTATCGACCGGTGTTATTTTCTTTCTGGAGCCCTGATGGAGTACTCCATAGAGAGGTGAGCTGCTAAACCAGAGGCCAGGCCTCTCTAGTGCGTTAAATCCAACAGCAGCGCCTCAGGAGAGAGGTGGGCTGTCTCCTTCCATGCAATTTACTGCCTGTCTCAGAAAACCTGCTGCAGGGTCAGCCATGAATCGGTTCTGAGTTGACAGCAGTGAGTTTGAGTTTGGAAAATTAACAATCCATCTCTCCAGTCAAACTGGCCACACTGCAAGTGCTGAAGGGTCATATGTGGATCTCATACTGCAAAGTATTGGCTTCCAGGATGGCCGTCCCTGCAGGAAGTCCTATCGGGCTGTGAGGTAGTATATTCCGGTGAAGAGCCTAAAGAGACGAGGCAGGCGCTCCACCTCCTGTTGGCTGGCATGCTTGCAAGAAGCTTTTTGCTTTCATTTAGTCCTTATTGATTCATTTATTTCCTAGCTTCATGAAATTAAAGTTTTCAATGCAAGAAGAGTATAAAAATGCAAAGGAAATAACTTCTAGGGCATTAAGCTTTATAAGATTTACGTCAAAAGGAATCAACCATAAGCATAAATGATTAAGACAAACCCATTATGGACATTAAATATGCCGGCAGGAAGGCAGGCCCAACACACAGAATATAGTTGGGGAGAGTGACCAGGGCAGTGTCTCTCTCAGTGGTGAAATGAGGCTGCCAATAGAGGTAGAGGTATCTGTGAAGCCACCACAGGCTTTTTTTTTTAAAAAAAAGTATGTAATATTTTATTTATTTTTTCATATTTTATACCGATTTCTCACAAAATTCATATACATTGTTTCACACTACTCTTCATTTATACTGTGCTTCACACAATCATTCCCATGCATTATGCTTTATAAACAAAATCATGATTGGACCTTGCACAACATTATCCAATCTTTTCAGGCCCCAGTTAGATCCTTTCTATTTCCTTCACCCCCTCCCTCGACACACCAAACTGTGCAACCCTGTTGTTTTGCCTCTATCCATCGTCACCCCTCTATTCCCACCCCTTCCCTCTTTCAGTCCCCATACATGTTTTACTGGTTATCTTCTATTTTTACAATAATGGTCTTATGCAATATTTGTCCTTATGAGATTGAGATACTTCACTCAGCATAATGCTCTCCAGTCTCTCCTAAGTTACACAGTATTTTTCAAAACTGTTGCTCCTGAATGCTGCATAGTATTCCATCATGTGGATGTACCACAGGCTTTTTAAAGTTTTGCTTTGAAAGCAGATGTCTTTAAGTTTTATCCCACTCAATCTTAACAGCCATGTAGTAGTTACTAGACAGGCATCACTGAGTTCACAGCGACTCATGACACTCATGATGACCCCATATATTCCACACTCTCTGGTCCTTCATGACCCTCATAACTAACAGCACGTGTGAGTTCACTCAGGCTGCTACTGTGCCAGCTCATCTCAATGAGGATCTCCCAACATCCCCAAACATGACATTCTCCTCTAGTGAGAGAGGCTTTCTGAAATGTGTCCAAAGCAACTGACCTGCACAACGTTCTACTGTGATCTAGAAGGTTTTCATTGGCTGATTTTTGGAAGTAGATTGGCAAGCTTTTTTTTTTCCTTAGTCTGTGTTAAGTCTGCAGGGCCCACTGAAATCCGCTTAACATAAATGACCATGGTGGTATATGAAATATTAGTGGTATCATTTCCAGAATCAGAGTAACCTAGCAGCCACCATAATTTGACAAAATGATAGATGAGTCCTGATGGGGTGGTAGCCCTACTACATATTATAACCCATACTGAATCCAAATTTTCTGTCCTTCAGCTACTAGGTAACACTGCCTTCTGTTTATCCCCATAAACCTGAGTTTTAAAAAAGAACATATTCTAGGATAGATTTCTTTCTTTAATGCGACATCTGCATTGGAACAGTACATGGTTTATATGTGGCCTGCCCTCTGCCAGCTTTTTCTTTGGATTCACTTGCTAAATGACTGTATTTTCAGAATTGGGCTGTTACTTGGTCTTAGAATTCCAAGCGCAGCGTTAAATCATGACAAGGATAGACTACTCACTCCAAATCGATGACCTTTAGTGATTATGCAAAAGAGAAGCCATTTCTTTATGACATCTCTCCAGTGGACAAATAGAGAATATAATAAAAGGATGCTAAGTCCTGCAATCTGTCAACCGTCCTTACATCGCGTTCATTTTACTTCAGGTTGCTTTGTGCCTGACAAGTTATCCTTGTAAATGCTTTAGTGAGTATTTTCTCACTATTGATTATTCCTCTCTTATGCCATTTCTGAAGTAGGTCACAAGCCCACTAAGAATATCCTTGCTGGTCAATTTATCTCTTTATATTTTATTTAGGATGCTTACTTCCTTTAAGTAATAAACTCTTATCTTAATATCATATCTAATATACTCTATCTTAATATCTCTGTTAAAATTTTCATCAAACATGGCCATATCTGGGTATCACTGTTTTTTCAAAAGAATTTACTATTACTTTCTCATTGAATGTTTTTTTGTTGTTGTTGAAAATACTCATAACTGAATAGATATATCAATTCAACACATTCAACAAGTGTAATTCACTGATAATTACTATATTTTTAGGATATCAAGAATGTCATTCATGAAGAGAGCAAGAGGTTATTGAAGAGAGGAGAAAAGACCAAGAATGTCAGCTGTTGTTGTTAGGTTTGTTAAGGATGTCAGCAGAGATACCGAATATTGCACGAGATTGCTAAAAAGGAAAAATAAATCAGGAAATTAAGGAGTTAAAGAGAAGATTTCAAAGGGCAGCTTGGGAAGACAAAGTAAAGTATTAGACTATACAAAGAGTGGGAGTCAGAAAACCAAACTGGTCAAACTTGCTCAGCATTTGTAAGCTCAAAAAGAAATGAAGAACAAATTTAAGCCTCGAGTTGCAATGCTTAAGGATGCTATGGGAAGAATACTGAATGATGCAGGAAGCATTAAAAGAAGATGGAAGGAGTATACAGGGCTGCTACACCAAAAAGAATTGGCTTACACAGAAGAATTTAATGAAACAGCATATGATCAAGAGACAATGAAGGAGGAAGTTCAAGCTGCTCTGAAGGAGTGGGCAAAGAACAACGCTCTAGGAATTGATGGAATACCAATTGATATATTTTAACACAGAGATGCCGCCCTGGATGTGCTCACCAAGTTGTGCTAAGAAATCTGAAGGCCAGGGGAGCTCTGGTGGCCCAGGGGCAAGAAGCTGCAACTACAATCCCAGAGGTGCACGGTTCGAATCCACCAGATGCTCTGCCGGGGAAGGAGGGGTAATCTCCTCCTGTACCTGTCAGATCTGATTTGACGGTACACGCACACAAAAAAAATATTAAAAAAAAAAAAAGAAATCTGAAGGCCAACCACCTGGCCAGCTAACTGGAAGAAATCTGTTCTCATTCTAAAAAAAAGGTGACATGATAGAGTGGAAATCATCAGACAGTATCACTGATAGCACACACACAAAAGCAAAATAGTCCTGAATATTATCCAAAAGAAACTGGAACAGGACAGCGACAGAGAACCACCAGAAATACTGGCCTGGTTTAGAAGAGGCTGTGGCACCAGAGACATTATCACCAATGCCAGATGGATTTTGGTTGAAAGCTAAGAGTACAAGAGGAATGTCTATCTGTGATTCATTGACTATGCAAAGGCATTTGCCTGTGTGAATCACAATAAATTATGGCTCACATTGGGAAGAAGCGAATCCCAGAACACTTGCTTGTGCTTATGTGAAACCTACACTTGGAGCTGGAAGCAGATATCAGAATAGAGCAAGGAAACAAAGGATGGTTCAAAATCAGGAATGAGTGTGTCAGGGATGCGTCCTGTCTCCTCATCTTTTTCATCTACATGTGGAAAAGATCATTCTGGAGGCTGGACTTTTTTGAGGAAGAATGTGGCAGTAGGATGGGAAGAAAACTCAACAACCTACAGACGCAGATGACACAGGCTTGCTCACAGAACCAAGGATGTCCTGAAGTGTTTACTGTAGAAAGTCAAGGACAGCAGTCTTCAGTAGAGACTGAAGCTCAACATCAAGACAAAGATGCTCACTACTGGCCAACTGGCAGATGGAGAAGAGATTGAATTTGTTAAAAATTTTAGCTTGCTCAGCTCTACAATCAACACTCTTGGCACCAGCAGTCAAGAAATCAAAAGACGAATTGCTCTGGGGAAGAATGCTGTCAAGGACCTCTCAAATGTGCGAAAGTGCAATGATGTCACTCTGGAGAC